GTAAAAATAACAAACATGTACATTTTCAGTGGTACAGGAGTAGCAGATACTGGTACACAAGCCTAGAGTGCCCTCTAGGGGGTGTCAGTGTGAAAATACTAAACGTGAAATAATATATTTCAATATATAAGACGCACCTGAGTATAAGTCGCAAACCTTTAAAAATGAATCCGTCTTGTCACGTGGGCCAGGTATTGGCAGCGCTTGAACTTTGGACAAGAGCGTGGAACCCACGAGGAACCCACGTGGAACCCACATGGAACCCACGAGGAACCCACGTGGAACCCACGAGGAACCTGCAGGGAATTCAAATAGAAAAACACTTTTAGCAGATCGTTTTAAACCGTCATTAGTAAGTCCATCTAAGTTGCTCAGATCTGAGGGCGGAGCAAAAGTACCCAAACCCACCATTAGTGCCCCCTGCTGGTCACACAGCTATGAATATGAGCCAATTGTCTCTATGATGGATTGCTGACCTGTTGAGTCTGAACCCTGGGGAGGGACTCCTGGTCCCCGCCCCCCTCCCTCCCAGGGTGAGTCACACAGATGATGGATGAGTCTTTAAATATTTGACAAGTTCTAAAAAAAAAAAAAAACCAACCCAGGAGCTCAGAGATCAGGGCCGCAGTTTTGTCTCAGGAAGCAGTTGAACGCTTTGACTCAAGGACGAGGATGGACACATTAACTGTGGGTTCATGGGACCCTGCAGGGACAGAACACCCCCCCCCACTAACTCAGGGTTTGGATGCGACGCCGACCCTGCGGCTGATTTATCAGCTCTGAAGACAAACAGACAGTGGACGTCGTAAAGATGGGAGCAGCGACGGCGGCCGGTGTTAAATCGTTGGCCTGGAACAGAGGAATAAATACAGATTTCTCCCTCATCAGCATCTGCTGCGACGACTGAACTCCACTCTCACACGCATCACATTAAGTTTTAGTGTCGGGCTCCGGGCGTCGTCGCGGCGCCGACTCTCAGCTAACAACTAACCCACGGGAAAAAAATAAATAAAAATAAATAAATAAATAAATAAAAGGCCGGCTCTTAAAATGTTCATATAGTTGGATTTATACTTGGGGAATTTTATTTCCGGACGTGAAAGTTTTAAGTGTTTCTTTTAAAACCTTCTGGGCCGTAACGCTGCCAGGCGTCGTAAAACGAGGAGCAGCGAAAACCGCGGATAAACGGCGAAAATGTCTTCAGAATGATGTCTTCAATCTGCTGGGAGGAAGAGGGAGGAGACAAAAGAGGAGGAAACTGAATGTGACTGATGATGGTGATGATGATTTTTCTCAGAAGAATTAAATTCCTGAAGTGAGCCACACGGTGGCGACGTGGTTCAAGATGTTGCCTTACAGTGCGAATGTCACCAGTCTGATCTTCATCTCTAACTGATGACAAAAATATACCTGTGTATTTCCGTCGCTCAGACTCTTTAGTTCGTCTTCTCTGCTGGGACTTCAGTCTCATTTAGACAAATTAATAAAAGGCACCAATGAGACGGTCTGTTTTAAAACGGTAAACATGTTTTTTTGTTTTTTTTTAATATTAACGTTTGGTTGATTTTATTTTTTTTACTTCGTTGTAACTCCATCAGGAATGTGATGTTTTCTCACTGCTGCGTTAGCGACGCTTTGTTTTTCAATGGCGTCGGAGAAGCAGGTTCCGTGGTCTCTTTGCACCATCTAGCGGTAGATCCGCGCTACAACATGTAACTCGGTGAACTCGAAGCTGCTTTATGTTTTGACTGCTCTTCTGTTTAATGTGAAATGACAACAGCGGGTGAAAACCCGTGTCTGTTATTTTTTAAATATATACTTTTATGATGACGTCATATCCTGGTCTCGCTGACCTTAAGGATCACTTCTTTAGGAGGAAATGTTTGACAGTGTTTGCCAAAATAAAATGTATAAATTTGTCAAATTAAGTGGGAAATATACTTTATTTCTATACTTTATTTTTGAATGAATGAAGGTCTTAAACAAACAAACATTTAGAAAAAGTGAAGAAGAAAGTGCAGCGACGTCGTGTCTTACTTTTTATTGTGACAGGAAGTCATAAAAATGGAGCAAAACTAAAGTTAAAAACAACCAAATACAAAAAGACAGTGGATTTTACAAAGAGCATGTAAAGGACACACACACACACACACAGAGAGACAGACGAGGGGGGGTCAGTCTGGGGGGGTGGAGAAGAGTTGGCACAGAACAGAAAAAATGGCGACATGTTCAGAGTTTGGCTTCCACAGCAGAAAAACAAAAAACAAAAACAAAAAAACTTCAACCACAGAAGAAGAAAATCGAGGGCGAGTGTTTGGAGCGGGCCGGGACTCATGCTTTAAAAAAGAAAAATCACAGAGGTTTCAGACTCAGTAGCTTCATCAGGACAGAGAGCAGATGCACATCCAACAGTTCTCAGTTCGTTCCACATGTTTCAGCTCAGCGTTACACCACGTCATCGATACAGACGCTTTTTTTTTTCTTTCCTTTCTTCGTTAAAACAAACGTCAGCTCCCAGAACCACGACATGGGAAGTTGTCTCGTCTGTGGTGAGATTATTCATTGTTTTCCATACTAAAATATATTATTGTATCAGTTCATCCTACATTAATGTACACTACAATGTGTAATAAATAACCATCAAAGAAAATATAAAAAAAAGACACATAAATATATATTTATAAAAAAAAACAAGTCTGCTGAAAACTAATCTGTGAAAGGGATTCTAATACTGCCATTGTCAGGAAACAAAAACAAAACAAAAAAAAACACAGGGAAAATAATACAATAAACAACAACTTTAAACACTGTTCGGTTAAAACATTTTAAAAACCAACACTTTCTCAGACCACATTTACCAACGTTCGTCTCCTGAAGTGCAGGAACAGCTGGTGTCAACGACACAAGTGCACAAAATAAAATTCATTTTTGTTAAATCTGTTGAATTGGTTGAGTTTTCACGGGAAAACGTTTCCACCTGCCTAAACTCTGCTGCCCCTAGTGGCCATGTCTTTACACTGAAGCTCTACTGTTGCTGTGAAAACTGACAGTAAACTTCCTGGAAGTTAAAAAATGATGTGGTTTTCCTTTTGTTTTTTAATTTTCCACAGAAGACTGAGGATCAAATAAAGATCAGTCAGAGTCAGAGTCCAAGTTTGTCCATGGGTTTTCTAGTCCGAGTCACAGCGGTAGATTGAGTGACTCGTCAAATTCCCAGGGTTTAAGGTCATTAAGGTCAAGTCACTAAAGAACTGTTTAAAATCAGACTTTGATTCAAAGATTTTAAAACAAGTCCCAGTCAAAGACCTCAGGGGTTCAGGTCAGGGGTTCGAGTCCAAGTCATCTGTAATTACACTGAGAACGAGTCACTGGTCACTGAGAACAGGAGAAAATCCTGAGTCGGCGTTAATGACGCTACAACAAAGGATCAAAGGAGTTGGTGTTGAGCTCCTTTTTTCTTCTTTTGACTTTTTTGTTTGAAAAGCTTTCATGATCCAATGATGATCACGGGTCTACAGACCAGACCTCAGACGGTCTCTGGTCCTGGTGAAGAGAAGACTTGTTTCCTTCACCAGATTTTTGTCAGTTTTTTGTATCAGTTCATCAAAAACAAAAGGCCGAAATAGAAGTTCATTATTTAGAGATTTGCTCCGACGTTGGTCTGATTTTAAGTCCAACATCGAACTTGTCCCACAGGACTCATCACCTGGACCAGGACCTGGACCAGGACCTGGACCAGGACTTGGACCTGGACCTCTCACTGATTCAGTTCAGGGTTCAGGTGGTGAAGATCCTGAGGTCCAGATGTTTCATGTTCATGTTGTAAAACCTCTGGACCATGTCTGACTTTTCTAGAAACGTTCCTTTATGAATTTTGAATTTTCTTTGGAACATCTGATCCTGACGTTCACCTCAGGTCATCTCACTGTGTTTGTAGCAGAAAAAAAACCAAACAAACTTACGTTTCCTCGACTGTCAGGCGTGGGTCACACACTGTTCGAGGTTTTCCTCCGACTTTAACCTGCTGTTCTGTCAACAAACGTTAGTCAATGTGGGTCTGGGTCAAAGGTCACACAAGGAACATAACACTGGCTACACAAGTGAAGGAGAAACCATAACACTGTTCAATGGCACTTTAACAGCACACAGGTCTTGCATAAGGCTGGAGGCATTTTGGGGGAGATGGGGGGGGTGGGGGTGGAGCAGGAAACTGCCCCGATCCTTCACGTAAAGTGATGACATCACACATGAGATCATCGTAACACTTGAAACACACAGAGTGAAAAGTTGACACAAAAAAAAAAGAAAAAAGGAAAACTCAAGCTCGCCGTAACAACTGGTTCTCGTGTTTTGGAGCCTGTGTGGGCGGAGCCTACGTCACAAAGTCATAACCCAAGACTCCGCCCATTTTAGCTTCACCAGCCCCGGGTTGCCAAACACAGGTGCCCGTTTGCTGGCTTTGAGGTTTGGACTCCACCTTCCCTGATTTGGGCTAATNCCCGCCCACAACCCCCCCTCTCCTCCCCACCAAGAATACTTTGTTTTCCTTAAGGCTAACAGTCAAACAGAAAACAAAGGTGATGCTAGCTAGCAAAGATTAACAGGAACGCGGACGACGTCTGTCTAGCTAGTGTAGCGCTAACACTGAAGGGCGTACGATGTGTGAGGCATGTATCCATAGGTCAACCAGGAATACTGTAGTGCAGAGGTCTTTGTTCATAGAACTCAATAAAATACTGATTTTTAGGAAAACTTCATTGGCAATAAAAAGGTATAGAAATCTTTCTCATCTTTACAGGATAAAAGGTTTCAGACAAATGAGATTAGTAACACTGACCAGATAAAAACAGACAGACGACAGACGGACGGACGGACGGATGGACACGACGACATGGACACGGTGTCTCAGTAACAGTTCTAAACAGGTCGATGGGTGATGAGTTCAGCTTTAAAATCTGTAATTCTATAAACAATTTTAACACTGATAGTTAGTTTTTCACATGGAAAAAAAAAAAAAAAAGTCGCTGTTTTTTTTTTTTCGTTTTCAAGTTCAGGCACACCTGGGATTTTTGTACACAGTGGTGGACCGTTCACGTCAGGCAACCGCCAGGTTTCTCTTTCTATTCCCATGGCAAGATGTCTTAACTTCAATGATCGGCACGTCGACAACCGTCCTTCCTCTCATTCGCCGCCTGTCACCGCTTCCTGTGTGGGCGTGGCAGCAGCGGGCTCCTCCCCGACGGTTTTGTCCAAATTAGTTTCACAGTCGTCTGTTGCTTCCTGGTTTCCCGCCGCACTTTTCTCTCCGGCTTCTTCATCCTCCGGCTGACTGTCCTCGTACTCAAACTCTACCACGTCGTACGAATCCTCCTTCTCCTCCTTCTCCACCTTCTCGCCCTCGGCCCCTTCCTCCTCCATCTCCTCCTCGTCATCCTCGTCGTCAAAGTTCCCCTCGTAGATTTCACACTCGCCGTCGTCCACCTGAACGACGCGAATGTCGTCCATACACATGGCCTCCTCGTCGTCCCCGTCCTCCTCCTCGCTCTCCCTCTCGTCTGAGTCCACTTGGGAGGGCGGGGTCGTCGTACGGCTGTCCGACTGCGTACCGACGCCGGGGCTGCTGTGCTCTCGTCGAGCCTTGTTCTGTACTGAGCCCGACCCGGAGCCCGACCCGGAGCCCGACCCGGAGCCCTCCTTCTTGCAGTAGGAGTAGCGGTGGTTCATGTGCTGGGAGTACGAGCCCGAGTGGGAGAATCGCTTGCCGCACTTGTCGCACTGGTACGGTTTCTCTCCGGAGTGCAACCTGGAGTGTTCGATCAGGTGGTGTTTGTGTTTGAAGGCCTTGTTGCAGATGCTGCACTCGTAGGGCCGCTTACCTGAGGGTGGACACAAACAGGGTGAGGACAAGAACCTACGGAGAACCGCTTTGGTTCTAAATGTTCCCACACTCAACGACAGAGGAGCCAGATGTTTAAATGCCCCCCTCAACATTCAAACATCCTCAAGAAGCATTTGAGTTAAAAAACTGAGAGAACAACGGGAGTTTACTTCATGGGTACTACGTCAGTACTACGTCAGTACTACGTCAGTACTACGCCCCTTCTCACCTGTGTGTTCATATTTGTGCCTGAGCAGAGAGCTGCCCTTCTGGAAGACCTTGGAGCAAAGATCACAGGGGTAACAACCGTTGTCCAGCCGCCGCCGCTTCATCGCTGAAGACGAGTCCGAGTGGTTGTGCTCCTCCGCAGAAGCCACGACCTCAATGTTTGTTTCCAGACTTTTATCTTCGCATAGAAGAAGAAGAAACAAACAAACAAACTGAGTTTCATCTTCAGTTTTAACACTTTCACACTAATCAACCAATCAACACTTTCTCCTGTGTTGATTGGCCGCTCCTACTGTGTAGGGCTGCTGACCTGTGTCCACTGGAGTAGGACGAGCAGCAGTCCAGTCTGTGACCTCTGACCTTGACTTTTTCATTTTTTTAAACCATAAAATCAGTACTTTTATTGTTTTCTTTTTATTTAATGGACTTTTTCATTTTTTTAAACCATAAAACCAGTACTTTTATTTTCTTTTTATTTATTTAAGTTTCCTTCATTTCATCTGTTTTTTTTTTTAACCTGACATCTGTCAGTACATCATATTTGTTGAAGCAGGTTTTATTTATATTTTACTACTTAATAATAATAATAATAATGACAGACTTTTCTAAACCCTGGTGAACGTCCACCCCTCAGCCGTCGGTCACTGACGTCCAGTGGCTGTAACAAACACTGACGTCCAGCGGCTGTAACAAACCCAAACCCAAAGTGCGCTCAAACACACCTTATGGCCGTTGAGCACCACAGTATTTGCTCCAGAAGGGTTCCCGGCGGCGGTGGCGTAGGTGTAGGTCAGCTGGGGGATGAGGATGGTTCTCTTGGTGGTGGTGTTGATGGCACTGAGGCAACCCACGGACCCCTGGCCAGCAACGGCCACCAGGGTGGGCAGCTGGGCGGCGGTGACGATGTTGACTGGGTTGACGTTCTGAGGCGCGGTGACGAAGATGGTCTGACCTGCGAGCTGCTGCGGCTGCTGCTCCTCCTGCAGCTGCGTCAGGTTCAGAGGCTGCTCCTGTTTGGCAGGAAGTGTGAGGATTTTAGCGGTCAGTGCCGCAGCCACCTGTTTGGGAAGAGAGAGGTCCAGCGGCTCTGCCTGGGAGTCCGGCGTCTCCGAGTCTTCTGGCTCACTTTTAATAACGACCAGACTCCCGTTGTTGAGGCTTAGTGATGAGGAGTCTGAAGGGGAGGTGCAGCCGGACTCTGACGAGGCCTTGTTGGACGTCACTCCGTTCTCATTAATAGTGTCTTTTGAGGTCCGATATGTAGTTCCTGTCGTTTTAGTGTCACCGCAGCTTTTACCGCCATTTTTCCCAGAATTCATCTTGGCAAACCACTTTCTCACGACGTCCACCGGGATAGTAACAGACTCCGAGATCTCGGCCAGCTCCTTCTCGTCGGGCTTGGCGTTTGAGGCAAAGTACTTCTTGAGGAGCGAGACGATGTCGTCCACAGGCGGCTCCTCCAGAGTCACTCCCGCCTCGCTGAGCAAGGCAGCGAACGACGGGTCCAGAGCGGCAGAGTCGACCGCCTCCCCGTTAGCTGCTTTGCGGTGCTGCAGGAGGTGCAGCGCCTCCAGGTTCTCCGGACAGTCCTCGCATAGTAAACATGTACTGGTACTGTTGACTTTTGGCAACGGAGCTGAGTCTGGGGTGTCAACAGTTTCCATTTTTGTCGGTGCAGGTGCCTGAGGCTCCTGCGAGACGGCCACAGAGTCTGGCTCCTCCTTGACAAGACTGAGGTCGGCCACCTCTGGGGTTGGGAGTTTACCCGTGTCTGTGGGGGAGGGGTCGGCAGCAGCGCTAGTCACAGTGGGCGGCGGAGCCGGAGCATTTTTGACAAGGACAGGTTCAGTTTGGGTGGTGGCTGCGGTGGCGGGCGCCGGGCTGATGCTGTAGTTTATGATGATTTTGGTGGTGCCGTCGTGATCCACAAACGCCGGCAGGCTGATGATCTGCTGCTGCGGCTGCTGCACTACGATCCCCTGCTTGCCCTGCGCCACCAGCCCATTGGCCGAGCCCAGCACCTGCCTGAGAACGTTCCCATCCATCGCCACCTTGAGCACGTTCTGCAGGTCGTTCAGGTTAATGCTGATGGGCGACATCAAGCCCACCGTCGGCACCACCATGGCCACGCCTGGAGGCACAGTTGCGGCCGCAGCAGGCTGCGCGGCGCCCCCGTTCACCACCCCGTTGGTGCTGGCCGCCGTCGCCGCCATCGCCGGCTTGCACGCGTATTCCACAGGTTCAGATTTGATCTGGGTCACAGGAAGCTGCTCCTGCAGGGGTTTACTCTCAATCTTCTCTTTGAGAATCATCCGGGCCGGGGCTATCACCAGCGGGGCGGCCTGGGCGGTAGACGGGGTGGCCTTCGTCGACGTCCGGGCGACGCCGTTGGGATGTGAAGCGCTCACACACTTCTTACTGCTGATGTGGGAGCTGTAGGAGCCTGAGTGGGAGAAGCGCTTCTTGCAGTTGGAGCATTCGTACGGTTTCTCACCTGAAACAGCAACAGAGTTCAACCAAGTTACAGTTAACGACGTTAACGACGGTGTTGTTAATGACTGTACACTTTATTATTTATTATTATAAATCAGATGTCAAACCTAAAGGCCCACTGGTTTTGACATTAAAGGCTGGTACCATGGTACTGACCATGTGACCATGTTAGATTACTAACCTGTTACGTTAGATTTTTTGACACATATTGTCATTAAAATACACTGTGTAATGCAGCGATCTATCCCATCCAATGTGACATAAATTCTACTTTGACATTAATGCAATACGTATGTGTAAATAAGTTAAGTCTGTGCATTTAGCTACTGAACAACAAACAAAACAAAAGGTCAAATGTATATGTGTATGTATATTTGTGGTGTGTGTGTGTGTGTGTTTGTTGTTTGCACTGACAACCACTCACCACTGTGAATACGCAGATGCTCTTTCAGGTGATGTTTGTATTTGAAGGCCTTGGAACATTCAGTACACTTGAACTTGCGGTTCCCTCCTGTTCCGATCGTTCCTGTCGGCTGGGAATTATGACGCTGAAACAACAGGATCACACATTAATAATAGATAGACCGGAAACATTTGATTCCCCTCCACAATAATGACATTCCAATGTGATTTAAACTTTCTGAACTGAAGACCAAACTGTCTTTTATTATGCCTGAACAGAAATCCAAGGATACTAGCCTATAATACGGCTGTTACATAACGGTGTAACGACAGGGTAGTTAATCAAAGACAGTTATTAACAAAACTCTTGACAAAATCAAGGTACTTCTGTAATACCTTTAAAACAGCAATACTGGAGAAATAGTTTAAATGAGAACAACTATATTCTGTTGGTCTGGTTCACGGTTCAACTGTTGAAACAACAATGTAACTAAAATCACCACAAATGATCAAATGTGAGAATAAATGTATTAATGTTCGTTTAGTCGATAAGCAGCTATAAACAATAACATTTTTTTTTTAGTCGATAAGCAGCTATAAACAATAACAAATTTAAAAAAAAAAAAACTACCTTCGTTTAATGCATTCACAGTCAACGTTATGTTCGCTTCATATCGCGGTTATAACGACGTCCACTCTTGCGTGACCGTCCACCTGGTTGGTAACCTGTTATGTTAGCTCTGTGGGGCTAACGCTGCTGCGGTACACCGGAAGTAAACCGGAAGTCGCTACTTCTTCGATTAAAAAAACAAAAACAAAACAGCAAGTCGCCAAAAAGGAAGTGAAACGACACACTTCCGGGTAAAAAAGAAAGCATTTTTTAAAATCATAATATCGTTACAAAATGTAACAGTTGTGAATTTTGTTTTGTTAGTTTTTTTAAAACCAAACTATACTATTGTCAAAACAAAACAGTTCTTATTCATAAATTCAAAAACTACTTTTTCTATTGCTTATATTCATGAATTGATGTGTTAAAATAAGTGGATACAATTTAATAACGAAGTTACAACAAGAGAAACTTTGTGTGAAAAGGTTTATTTGAAACTCTGATTTTCATCTGTTAATAAGCCACAGACCCTGCATTAGGTCAATCCATTCGTCCTAGTTTAATGCCCTCCACTGTTTACATTAAACTCATTTTCTAACATGAAGCAGCCGACGCCTCCTCGTCTCTTACCTGCTCCCTGTTGCCCCTGTGGTGGCTCATGTGCCTCTCCAGCTGTGAGCGATAGGTGAAGGTGTAGCTACAGTGCGAGCAGCTGTAGTTGCTGTCGCTGGTCTCATGGCGATACCTGATGTGCTCCTTTAGTGAGGCGTTGCGTTTGTAGCCCCGGGAGCAGTAGGGGCAAGTGTGCAGCTGGGAGAAGGAATCTGGTGTGCCTGGAAGAAGAGCAGATGGAATAATTCTTTCAGTTTTTTTTATTATGACAAATCAAAAGTTTTTTTTTTTGTTTTTTTTTTTGCTGGAAGCTAAAAGTTCTTCTTGTGTGCGTGGAGTTGTACCATTTTCATCGGCACCTCCTGTCTCCACTGGACTCTGCTCGTCATCAGGGGCTTCGGGGTAGATGATGGCTGTGTCCCCCTGCTGGAGGATCTTCTCCACGAGTTCATCCTTCTCTGTCTCCTCCTCCTCCTCTTCCTCTTCTTCTTCTTCTTCTTCTGACACATACTCCTCTTTCACTGAAGACACACACACACAAATGAAGGAGGAGGGAGTCGGGGGGGGTTATTGAGGAGAACCTGGCAGTGGAGTTGTCTTAAATATAACCCTTGTAATCAATCAAGCAAACATTTTTGTTTACTATATTAAAAAAACTTCAATACACCCCTCATTACCCCCTCTGGATGAGGATGACACTGTATTTTCAGCCTCTGCATTTACGGATTCTTGGGGAGTTGGTTTCATTTTTCACCACTAGAGGGTGTCAGTAGTCTTCATTCTAACCTTTATCAAAAGCAGCGTGTCATTCTATATAATCTACTTGTTGATTTTGTTTAGGACTTAATATTTGGGGAGGAGAAGCGAGAACTTCAAATATAGTCTTTTTATAAAGGGATAATCCGTGTTTTTCTCCCCGACAGCACCCCCTATCTTTAGAGCCACACACGCCTCTCAGTTTCACTTGAGACGCTGCTGAGAAGAATGTAGAAGTTGGAGTTTTATCATGAAACTTTTATCTTCTGTGCAGTTTTCCTTAAAGTCCAGTTCAAACTAAAATCCTTTGAGGTTTTGTTCCTTTTTTTTTTAGAATGGAGACTTTTTGATGTCCATCAGATCTGTGTCAGACGGACTGATGGACGTTGGAGTTTGAGCCGTTAAATAAAATTTAAAAAGAAAAATTAAACAAAAGGTGTTTGAGAGACTGATGAAGGTCCTGAAAGAGAACAAGAAGAAGATGAGGAAACACGGGGAAAGTGTCACATGACCTGCAGCGGCTGAAGGATGTTCATAAAAGATCACTCAGAAGATTAAAGTTTTTTTATGGAGGTGATAAAACGTATTAAAGGTTTTTTTTTTATTATTTGACTTCAGTAGTGATTCAGCACTTCACTGAGAATCGATGAGTCACAAACGACAACTTTAGATGAAAATGGAGCGAGCTGAGGTTGAAGCGCTTTAGTTTCATAACAAATGAACGGTGTGTGTGTGTGTGTGGGGGGGGGCGAGGGGGCTTTTTTTAACAACTGTTAAAACACGGCGTCTCTCAGCTTCTTCACCCTGACGTCGAGTCAGATAAAAGATTTATGTCATAAATTAATCAACTTTCTCGGAGAAACGGGGTCAAAGACGACGTCTGCTGCAAGTGTGGAAGTGTGAGCGGCGTTTCCATGGAGACCGGT